TCATACAAATCGTTTTCCCATAAAACCTCCTAGATGCCAATAATGAACATCTGAATTTTCTTTAAAAAATGTGAACATTGGTCCCCCACGAACGATGGTGATTGCACAGTATACTTATATATAAATGAGAGCTGTTCAAATTCATCAATTTTTTTTTTACCTTGTCCTTTTATCTACCTTTACATCACTTTTCTTAAATTTGTGTATAGCTAGGTTTCAAAGAAACTTTTCAAGATATTTTAATCAAACTTCATATGCTGATACATATGGATGAGTGCTATTAAATTCCATCAACATGTTTTGGCAATGACTTTCCTTTGACCTTGACCTTACTTTTCCTAAATTTGTGTTTAGCTCAATTTCAAAGAAACTTAAGATATTTTTTATCCAAACTTATATGCTTATACATATTAATGAGATGTGTTCAACTTCGATTTTTTTTAAGTTATCCTTTTCTTTGACTTTAACTTCACTTTTCTTAAATTTGTGTTTAGCTCAGTTTCAAAGAAACTGTTAAAGATATTGGTATCAAACTTCATCTGCTGATACAAACATTTTTTGACCTTGACATTTCCGTTGACCTTGACTATACTTTTCTTAAATAAGTAACAATCTCAATTTTGAAGACATTTAAGATATTTTTATCAAACCTTTATATGCCTAACTATATTAACGAGAGCCGTTCAACTGCATCGATTTTTTACCTTGAGATTTTCTTTGACTTTGACCTTACTTTTCATAAATTTGTGTTAGGTAAGTTTCAAACAAATTATTCAAGATATCTTTATCAAACTTCATATGTTAAGACATACAGATGAGAGCTATTCAATTGCATCAACATTTTTTGATCTTGACCTTTCATTTGACCTTGGCCTGACTTTCCTCGAATTTGAGTTTCAAAGAAACTATTCTTGATGCTTTTATGTAAACGTTAGCAATGATACATTATTTGGTGAGTTTTCCTCTCTCATGAACTTGAAGCGTGACAAACTCTACACACAATGTAGTAAAGGGAACGAGGTGGATATACTTGTTTTCTAATTCCAACACAAATTGCTGTATCCAGTAATTTAGAGAATTGCTGATCATCTCGGTCAAAAGTGCCCATTTTTCCGTGCGACACGCCACTCCTTGAACGTTTAAATTGCCCATTTGGTATTTTTACGAGTGTTAGGATTTTTTTTAAGAGTCTGTCACTCAACTCAGGCCCCATCATGTCTAAAATATCTCTTATATCGAAGCCCTTAATATGTTCAATTTTTAGTTCCGGTAGATCAAACGTCATACTTCCCAAAGAATCTTCAACCTGTATTTGGTTTCCTAACTGAGCTAAGGAATTTTCCATCATAATTTCGATTGCCACCGTGTCTTAGAATTGTGATAGCATAAAATCACAACCGTCATCCATGGCGTTAAAACTTGAATTGACAAGGTAAAAAGCTCAAGAAATACAGCGCGCTATCCTTTTCAAATTACGTGCTTTATTTTCATTGGTCATATAAAATGGTATGGTGAAATTTTGATAGATCATGGCTAACTCAGTGCATGGGAATATAGTTGCTATAAACGTGAAATTGACAGATCATGGGTAACTCAGTACCTGAGAACAATGATACAAAACATATAGAGTACCTTTTAACTCGTGTGCATCTTCAGATATCAGACTTGGGAGACAAGCCCCACCGTCTGATATCTGAAGATACACGAGTTAAAAGGTACTCTATATATTACTTATCACCTGCATATGGGTTTTTGTCTCCAAGTTTATTAGATACGAAAGAGCATGTCTACGTATGAACAATTTCTAAAACGAGGCAAGCTACTGACAAACAAGTTGATGAAACAAGGATATCAACAGTCTCGACTGAAGTCATCATTTCGCAGGTTTTATGGTAGATATAATGGCCTTGTCAGCAAATACAACCTATCATTAAGTCAAATGTTAACTGACGTTTTTCATACTAATTGCTAGGCCATTATTTACACACTGAATTGTCTACGGATTTTTCTGTTTTTCCCGATCATGACAAGGAGCATACAAGGGTGTGACCGGTCGGTAGGAGATGCTCATTTCTCCATGGCGCCTGATCCCACCTCTGATATGTTTGGAGGTCCGTGTTTGCTCTGCTCCCGATTTGTATTGTCTAATTGGGACTTTGAGCTTGAATACTGTTCGTTATCTCCATATTTAGTGAAATAGCACTCGAGACAGGTCTATACGATTTACACATCAATTACATTCACAATAGTACACAAAAATAAGGGAAAGGCACTTGTGTAATTTACCAACCGGAGACAATATGTATTGATGTGCAATGACAATATGCTCGGTCACACCTTTATACTATCTAAACATAAAGGACTCGGTTGAAATGTAAAGTGCAAGAAATTAATCTGTCTGGAGCAGGTCTTTCGTCTTATGAAGAAAAAAAATGGAAATTAGTATGTAAAAAAAGAAAACTGTTTTGAAAGCAATCAACTTATAATTATATGACACATCTTCGGGAGCTTTTACCATTCCATTGCAAGGAGATATTTGTAAAAAAAAAAAAAAAAGAAGCCACTGGTTACTATTTCAAGTGTGACCAGAAGTGACGTCGACCGAAAAATAAGGTCGAGTCCAATGACTCAAATCATTGATCCCGGGCATCCATCGGGGAAACAGGCTTGCTCTAGAGGAACTGGCTACCTCGTTGAAATACTTTGTTCGAATATACCGATAAAATTAAAATTGTTATTCCGTTTTATATGCAGAAATAAATAAATAACTTAAACATGCTGATTAAGAATTAATTTAGTTAAATAGTAAACTGTCACATTAATATTCTTACTATAAAACATGTGGATCTTTAATGAGGATTTTCATAAAAGTCTTTTTGAAAATGCTTACACATTTACTTAACTATTCTATAAATAAAGGAAACATTACCTCAAAGTTTGATAGGAAAAAAGGAAAGCAAATCATTGAAGAACTTACTTCATTGAATTGTCAAATAGATAAACATTCAAACCTAACATTATATTTTGAGTTGATCATACGTTTCAACTGAGATTCTGGCTTTAGTGAGCAAAAACAGCAAATGCTGATACATCAAAAATTATATGCGTTGCATTTGGTTATCAGTTTTTAAGAAAGTATATATAAAGATGAATCTGAAGATGCTCAGATGCAGTTAAAGGTTTGACTTGATTGTATATTATTAATGAACAATAATTTAAACGACTTACTTGAATATTCTTTTTCAATAGTGTTATGAATTTACATGGGCCTGTACCTTGTGCTATCCATTGTTATCACATATGATTATTATTTTAGTTTAACATGGGTGTTTACACATTACTATGGAGTGTAGATACGATATTTCAAGTGAAAATATGTGTTTTATTCCAATTTATTTATAATCATTCGCTTTGATTGAAAGCGAAAGTAGAAACATGCCGTTTCACAATGTGAATGTGTTGTTTACATTCATTCGGGATGTTGTTCTCGATCCTTGTGGCATTAAATATGTGTCATTACGCAAAGCAGTGCTTACCTGTGTTTATTAGACGTTTTACATCGACCATAATCTATATTTTATCTATAATCTATATTTACAGCTCTATTGTGCTTCGATTTCCCTTCAAGTTTCATTACTTCAGCTTGAAGTTTCGCACGTGCTGCTTCGTTTGTTAGCCGCTCGCAGATTGGATAATGACGTAGCTCTTCTGTGTATATAAACAGAGAGGCTCGCTGAAGGTGCAGATTTTTTTAAAAGTACAGTTAGATTACGGAGGTTAACCTACAAGTATAATGACCCAGAAGGTGTTACTTAATAACCCTTCTATATTACAGAAGGTGAATATTTCCTTGTAATAGTGTGTACCTTCTCTAGTTACCAGAGTTTCAGCATATTCTCCTTCCGTAGTTCTGTTTACCTTAGCAACGTCTGCTACGCCCCTTCATTTCCATACAGTTGCACCTTCGTATCCAGAGTGGTGCACCTTCTATTTTTACACCTTCCCTACGAAACCAGGAAGTTCCAAATATCGTGTTTGTTTTATGTACTTTTATAAATAAATTATTACATGTTTCTTTTATACAAAGACTTTCTCTTGTTTTGTTGACTGTCAAATGGTACCGAGCCCACGTATTATTATAACCAAATGCTGTAGAGTATAGGAAAAGTAATTATTTATACCAGGTTTAATACAAATATTTAGACACAGCATATTTTCGTTACAATAGGAAAAGGGTGTATTTGAAAAAAAAAAGAACTGAAAGTTTCACATGATTATCTGTGTCAGGATAGAGTTAAAATTATGCAGAAAAGATATAAAAAACGCACTTTCTCTCAAAAATGCTTTTAAATTGTTTGAAAGACTTTTTTTCATATTCGACTTTTGATATATACGAGTCAAGTAAATTTTATTTATATTCGGCAGATTTATACATTATAACAAATAAATATAAATTTGGATAGCTCTTTATCCGACTTAAACGACTGATATATATAAAAACTAACAGCACAAATTTGTTTATGCCTACTTAAAACAAAGCACAAACAAGTACATTAATAGAAAAAGCTGAGATAAACACATATGAATAGTAGTCGCCCGCGTGGCGCAGTGGTTAGAGCGTCTGCTCTAGAGTCGCGGAGTAAGGAGTTGATCCTTATGTCGCGGGTTCGAATCCCACTGTGGGACGTGGAGACCGGTCCTTCGGATGAGACCGTATAAACCGAGGTCCCGTGTCGCAGTAGGTGCTGGCACGAAAAAGATTCCTCACTGCTCAATGGCCGTAAGTGCCCAGTATAGGACAAAATTTGCAGCTCTCCACCGGCAAGTGGTGGCGTCTCCATATGAGTGAGAAATTTCTCGAGAGGGACGTTAAACAACATACAAAAAAAAAACAACAACATATGACTAGTACGAATAAGGACCATCATAAAACAAGAAAGAGAAAAAAATGAACACAGTTGTACTAACAATAATATTTATACCAATATAACATAATAAAATATACGGAAGAGGACTTATATTTGATCATATTCATAAACATTTTAATCCCGTAGTTTTTTGATTCTAGCGGTATAGCAAAGTCACTGTTCACTGTTCTTGATTAGCTGTAACAAAGGCTGTAAATGATCAACATTAATTGAGAATGCTGAGAAATGGAGAAACCATAGGCAAAGTATTCAGAATCGTTAAAAGTTTTCTTTTAATGGAAGGGAGAGAGAGAGAGAGAGAGAGAGAATAATTTGTAAGACCTGAGTAACATCAGTCAGTTGTGATTAGAACAATAGTATCTCAGTTAACAATTCTTGGTTTCTTTCCGATATAAAGGAAAAAAATTTAATGTCATCATATTACTTGTTATAATCAAACTTCTTTAAATACATATATAAAATGTGTTACATATCATTTCAATTCCTTGGTTTTCTTGTCTGTAACTGTGAATATGCATGCACCAACAGCAATTCTTTAACACTTCAACATTCATAAAGATTTATAAATCTTTAGTCATTTTACGGATGTTTTCAACACTATCAATTCCTCGAATCATGTCGGCAGCTTTTTCTGCTATCATGATGGTTGGAGCATTTGTGTTTCCAGAAGTAACATGACGCATGACAGACGCATCGACCACACGAAGATTCTGTATACCCTTTACTCTGCAAATGTTAATTGCTGTTATGTTATTGATACTTACAAATGAAAATATAAATGCAATATATATATATATATATATATATATATATATATATATATATATATATATATATATATATATATATATATATATATATATATATATATATATATATATTGTCTGTTTTTCACTTGTACAAAAACAGTACGAAATAGTGCTAAATTACAATTCAAATGACGAATTTTAGATTGAATTTCATAATATATCAGATTGAAATTTTGCTAGATATTAATTATATTCTTGAATTATATTCATTTATGTGAAACCTCTTAAACTCACTACTTTACAGACATTTTTCCTCATTAAATCGGTGCTCTTGAAATCTTCAAAAATTTTCAAAATCTTTGTTTTTCTACTCAAAGCAAAATAATGTGTTCTTGTATAAAAAAAAAAGTGGAATCGAATTGGAAACCTGAGGCGGGGATCAACAACAGCTGTGTCATCATTATGAGCTCCCATTCTACATGTAGACGTCGGATGCCAGAGACCGAACGAATAATACTTGATTCTACAGACCCAGTACTCCTCTGAGGGGTATTGAAGTTCGTTACAAGGAGGATAGTACTCTTTAGAGGGATCTGATGGTGATGCACCAATGGATCTGAATGCTGTTGTGTTCGCTAATTTCATAATCTGATACACTCCTAAATCATAAAAATAGTTAAATACAATAGTATCTGTTTTAAAATAAGTTATTTTAATTTACTACAGTTATTTTTCAAATACATACTGTCTTTCAAAATAATAATAAGGAAAGAAAGCTCAGAAGTCCACTAAAACAGAATATATTATGATTAGAGCCGATTCGGAACTCTTACAATATCGGAGGTCGGAACAGTTGCCATGAAGGAGTAAGCATCCCCTGTCGACCGGTCACACCCGCGCCGTGCATTCCTTGCAATGAGCAGGTAAAAGGAAAAATCCGTAGACAATTTAATGGGAATATAATGTCCTAAAACTTGTGTGAAAAAAGCCATTCAAACTTCAACCTAATGATCCATAGATGGTATTTGCTAACAAGGTCATTAAATCGAACATAATTTGCTAAATGTTGGTTTTAAACAAGATTACCGATATCCCTGTATCATCAAAACATTTAGAAAACAGAGACAGGTTACTGATAAAAAGTAGACGTCACAGGACTTTCTACAATCTCGTTTTAATTCAGAGTTTTGGGAATTCAATTGTCGTAGTATTAGCCTACCTCCGATTAAAATTGATTATGTCAGAACATGCTCTTGCGTACCAAATCAGTTAAGAGACTTAGACACAATATGCAGTAGATAACGGACCCTCCTCCAAGCATCCTTTAGGATGTAAAGGATGAGGGTCATTCTATGTAATGAGCCTGAGGCTCTAGAGGGTATGTAGCATTATCTCCGAGTGCAGCGAGGCATATCTCAATTCAAAGAAGCTAGAAAATGACCTGTGTGACGTAAACACACCTGTGGTCAGTAGTATATAAAGCACAGCTCCACGTTCCGAAGTCATTCTTGAAAGCTTGTTTGTGACAACTAACAAATACCATGTGGATGGGTTATTAACCTCAGAATGAAATCAATTTGGGTTGGGTACATGATACCCTCTTGAGCCTCAGGCTCATTACATAGAATGACCCTCATCCTTTACATCCTAAAGGATGCTTGGAGGAGGGTCCATTCTATTACATATCGCCTTTCGGCTCTACGAGGGTTTCATGTAGCATATTTAAAGAGTTGGTCACAAACAAAATTTTACAAATAAAAATATATTTTCAAGGTATTCAATAACAAGACCATTTATTAAGATTTAATGAAAAATAAAACTCAAATGAAACTAAATTTATTCATTGTCAAAGTTTATATATAACATGATAATGAATAATCTCATTTTATCAACAGTGTTTATTGTCAAAAAACAACTAATGTCACCAAACAATTCATTGTTCATCCAATCAACACTGAACGTGCAAAAAGTCCATCTGTATCACACCCAGTTATATTTGCCTCTTTGTAGTAAAACTTAAAAAATGTCTTTGAAGAGGACCAATTTGCCGCATCCATTATTTCTTTTAATGACACACCTGATGAATAGGCCACTGAAGCGGAAGTTCCTCGGAAAGAATGTGCAGTAAAGTTCCTGATTCCTGACAGTTTTAGAACAGTTTTCAGCCATCTTTCTAACGTACATGTTGAAACAGGATTAAATGTTTTATAGGAAACAAATAGTGTAGATGATTTTCTTTTATTTTTTGTTCTTCTCGAGTATTCATGTAACGTGGAAACAACAGAAAGTCTGTTGTCAGAAAATTTATGTAATACAACTCTATGTACAGGAGTTCCAGGTTTACACGTTTTCAGTAACTTCTGAATTTGAAAAAATAACCTTATCAGTAAAAACTGACATATATCTCAAATCAAGAGCCAACAGTGTTTTGGCCCTAGAAGCTGTTTTAAGTGCAACAAGAGCTATCAGTTTTAAAGTTAACAAACGCAAAGATATTTCATGTATAGGCATTAGATTGCGTAAAAAACACAAAACTTTTGATACATCCCATGATGTCTTAACTTTAGGCCGACATGGATTAAGATTAAAATATCCTTTCATTAACTTTGGAAGTAATAATGGTTCTTTAACCCATAAAACACCAAAATATGGTAAAGTGTTAATCAACATGGATTTATGAGTATTCACAACAGAAAATAAAACTTTATTACTCATCAAAGAAATAAGATATTTTACAACTATTTCTTCAGAGGGTGAACAGTGATTAGTTTTCCATTTAGAACACCAAACCACCCATTTTTGCCAGCAGCATTGGTATTGTTTATTAGTAGTCGGTCGTAAATAAGCAAGGATGATGTCACTATCGAATCTTGCCAGCCCTTTGTCATAGAGGGATCTCCTGATACAAGACAGGCGGTTAGAGTAATCTTGCGGAGTGGATGTACCTCTCCCGTGTGTGGCATCACCAAGAGATCCTTGTGTCGAGGAAGTCTAATAGGAATAGAAATCAAAACAGACATTAGCTGTGGAAACCAAGTTTGAGTTTTCCATAACGGGGCAATAATTATGGCTTGCTTTACTCTATCTTCTAATATTTTATTGATTATTCTACCAATTAATTTAAAAGGTGGAAAAATATATGGACTTAAGTTTGACCAAGATAAAGTGAAAGCATCAATGCGATATGCATCAGGATCAAAATTCCAGGAAACAAACTTTCCCAAATGTTTATTAATACGAGAAGCAAAAAGATCTATGTCTGGATTAAAAAATTGTTTGCAAATTCTCAAGAAAATATCATGTTTTAACATCCATTCTGTAGAGTCAGCAAATTGCCTAGAAAGTGCATCAGCATATATATTCTCACACCCTGGTAAATATTGGGCCGAAATAATGATATCACGTTTTATGCACCAATTCCAAATTTTGGTCATTGAGTTGTTTTGAATGCATTCCACCCATTGCATTAATGTAAGAAACCACAGTTGTATTGTCAGTTTTGAAACAAATATGTTTTGAAGTGTACTCTTTAAAAAACGATTTTAAAGCAAAATACACAGCCATCAATTCTAAAGCATTTATATGATATGATGATTCTGAATATGTCCATCTACCCCCTGTCATTTTGTTTTCAAACCTAGCACCCCAACCTAGCAAGGATGCATCAGTTTCCACCCATAAATCAATTGGTCTTGATCTGATATCTTTTCCATTTAGTGTTTGTAAATTTTTACACCACCATTTTATTTCATTGATACTCTCAGCAGGACAAATCATAAATGAATTATAATCATCATTGTTTATTTTCAGATTTTGATCTTTATCTCTTTCTAAAATCCTGTAATGCAGAGGACCCTGAAAAATCGCATTACATGCATGGACCAATAAACCTATCAATGAGGCCAATTATCTTATCTGAATCCTTGGATTGGACAGAATAATTTGGCTTTGATTTAAAATCTTCTCTATTTTTTCATCTGTCAAATAGACTTTAAATTCAACTGAATCTATAATAACTCCAAAGAAAACAATTCTTTGCAAAGGGGTATTTACAGATTTTTTATCATTTATTGTAAAACCAAGATTGTTTAATTCCAACATAACTCTATCTGTTTGTCCTTGACATATAGAAAAATCTTGATTCATGATTAGGGAATCATCAATATAATAACAACATCTTATGCCATTTTTCCTAAAGAATGCATAAACAGGTTTCAATATCTTTGTAAATATTCTTGGACATGAAGTTAACCCAAAAGGTAAAACTACAAATCTGAAAAATTTTCCATTCCAAGAAAAAGTTAGAGATTTCTTGTAATCTGGGTGAACACTGACACTAAAATAAGCATCCTTTAAATCAACCGAAGTAAGATAATCATTTCTCTGAATCAGTTCTAAAGCAAATGTTAAATTTTCTTGTTTGAAATGATAATATTCAACAAATTCATTTAATTGTTTTAGATTTATGATTGGCCTTAGATTACCATCTTTTTTCGGTATAAGAAAAATATTTGAAATAAAAGCATCCGAAATATCTTCTACTTCTTCAATTGCACCTTTATCAATCAATTGTTTTACTTCTTGTGATACCAATTCAGATTCTACTGCATTAAACTGAATTTGCTTTGGAATGATTTTTTGAAAAGGTTGCTGAAAAATTCAATTTCATATCCTGGATCAATTATGTTCAAAATCCATTTATCTTTGGTAAATTTTTGCCAGTAAGGTTTATTAAGCTTTCTAACCTTTACTTGCTGTAACTGTATGGTTTCTTCATTATGCCTTTGTACTGACCCCTTTGACCTCTGCCTCTCTGGGAAGGATATGCATACATGTACTGGCGGTTTCTGCCTCTGTACTGGTTTGTGAGAGGTTGATACCCCTGGGTTGACATGTAGTCTTTTGTTTGATTAACATTTTTGAATTTTGTATCATAACTTGATTTCATTCCAATTGGTTGCTTGGCAATGTCTCCCATTTCTTTAAGTTTAGAGACACAATTGTCTCCAAACAAAAAATCTGTTACTGGAATCTCAGAGGAAGCAATTTTTCGATATCGAAAATTTAAAACATTTTTAATTTCATTTCTTCTTTTCATTGAGAGGTTTTAAAAAGCATTGCCAAGCATACTTATAGAATCTGCCAACATCTTTTTACAAGTTTGGGGGTCAAGTTCTTTTTTATTGACAAACATATCAGCCATCTGTACTAAAGGTATTATACCCGTGGCTAAAGATTTTTGAATCACTTGTAAAGTGAGATCATCTGAATGGGCTTGCTTATTCATTGCATCCCAAATTTCCTTATTGACTCGGGGTACTTTCAATAGATTACAATTATCTGGTCTGTCATATTTTTTCTCCAATTCTACTATACTTTCTTTGCTAGTTTTAATAGAGATCGTTGCATTTACCGCTTTTCCCAGTGCTTCATTTACTTTTGGACCAGTTTTCTCATTTGCATTTAACTGTGGGATATCCCAGTCATTACTGCTAGCACTGTTATCAATTGTAATCTGAATTGATTCATCATTTAAGATCCCCTTAAATGTTTCTTGAGTATCAACACCTTCAATAGAAGGAGAAACTTGACCATTCAAATAAGAAAAATCAAAGTCAAAGTCATCAGGGGTTACATCAAAAGTTTGACGAGAATCATAATCAGGTATGTTAACCAAGTTTCTCGGCGGTCTGTTAGGCATAGATTGTGTAAAATTACCGGGAGAATTATTACCCGAAGTGTGCACCGTAGATTCGGTGGACCGCATGCCAATATTTTCATTGCACGTATTACGCGCCGTAGAATTAGAAAGACCCAACTGTTTTACAGTATCTGTCACCGAAGAAAGGGATTGCAAGATTTTGTCTATGCCCAGTTGACTTTTAAGTTCGTCAACATTAAATTCTTGAACAGACTCGGACTGATTTTTAGATTTTTTACTTTGTTTCGTCGCCCGTGGCGGCGGTGCACTTGCACTTGCAGAACATGTCGAGGTCTGCGCTTTACTCTTCATTCCTCTAGTTCTTTTATTTGTAGTATTAGTGTCATCTGTTACACTTCGTGTACGAGGTTAATCCCCAAACAATTCCTCTATGTCTGAGTAGTTGTCATGGTCACTTCCCGTGAAAGATAGGACATCGTCCTGGTTTTCAGCCGTCATTACGGCAAAATACAAAGACTTCGTAACTTACCTTCAAACAGTTTAATATTTTAATAAGAGCTGTTTTACAGCAGTAAAAACCCCTTAAATAACTTGAACAACGTTCTAAGTTAAAGGTGCTTGGACACAGATTTGAAGTTAATATTTTCTCAAATTTTCTGTAAAATTTCATGACTTATATGTTGCTATAGCATTTCATACTAAAATATAATAAAAATCTTATTTCATCTCGTAGTTATTGAAACTTCAAATTTCTGAACGCGTTTGATTGACACATCCTTGCACTTTCACAAATTTTAATTTTACTCTTAATACTTAAGAAAAGTGGCGATTTTGTTGTGTATTAATGAAAAATATTTAAAACTATAATCCAGAAAATTCAGAGTAGAAATGTTCGAAAGCAAAACCCACTCACAGTATTGTCAGTCCGTGCTCAGTGGTGTGTGCAGACTTTAACAATTGAACACACCCGGTGAATCGTAAACATTAACAATAACAGAGCTCGTGCCCTGTTTACAAAAACAGTTTACGTTTCACGGGTGTATTCAATTTGTTAAACTCTGTACACAACACTGAGCCGGGCTGACGATAATAGTGAGGGGGTTTCCTTTCGCACATTTCTACTCTGAATTTTCTGGATTATAGATGTAATGTTTTTAATTAATACACAACAAAATCGCTTCTTTTCTTAATTGTTAGGGATAAAGATAAAATTTGTGAAAGTGCAAGGATGTGTAAATCAAACGCGTCCAGGAATTCGTAGTTCCAATAATTTCCAGATAAAATAAGTTTTTAATTATATTTTCGTGTGAAATGCTATTGCAATATATAAGTCGTGATATTATACAGAAAATTTGAGAAAATATTAACTTCAAATCTGTGTCTAAGCACCTTTAACAAAACACCTCTATTGATAATGTTTACCTGCTGTACAGGTAAACTCGCACGCCGCTCAGAGAAAAAGAATGACTTCGGCACGTGGAGCTGTGCTTTATATACTACTGACCACAGGTGTGTTTACGTCACACAGGTCATTTTTAGCTTCTTTGAATTGAGATATGCCTCGCTGCACTCGGAGATAATGCTACATGATACCCTCGTAGAGCCGAAAGGCGAAATGTAATAGAATGGAATAGTATTACTAACTGCTTAATTTATTTTCATACATCGTATATGAAGAAAACAGTTGCCATAAAGATTACAATTTTACCTTTTAGCAACATCTTTATGTCATCTGGATGATCTAAGTAGTTGGGATCTATTAGTGGTGGATCAAAAGGATCACTGCTCTGTAGTCGAATGGTTCCTCTACTCTTGGGATGGAGAAGTATACTTGTTGCCATGAAGCTCCCTCCGTTATTACTGGTGAAGTCTGCATATGCTTTATACACACCTTCTGTGATCTTAAAGATTTTAAAATTGGTAACATAATGAATTTGACATATGAGAAATCACTATATTTTGAAAGTACGGAAAGCTTGTTTTAATTAGTATTGTGAAAGGCATCAAAGTTTTAAAAAAATTACTTTCATTTTCAACCTTATCTAAACCACAAACAATATCGAAATTTTCTTAAAATGTCCATAGTAATAGGTAAAAAAGCACATATTTCTGTCTTAGCGCTGTTCGCAAGTTTATGGCTAACAGGCCTCATAATAAACGATATTTAAGCGCATAAAAAGACAACTAGTAATTTTTTGGTAAATGTTGACTGCAAGTTAAAATTATATGAAGGATTTTAACCTTTGGATCCCAGTTTAGAATTTTTGTAAAGTCATAGGCAACAGAAGGTAGCGACAGCATACTGTAGAACGTTATTTGCAGGTATGGAAGCAAGGTGTCATCATCCTTCAGAAAAACGCTAGACTCTATGTGTGACTTAGACAAAGGACCTGTAAAATTTACAATATTAACTGATTCTTTAATTAACTGCTTGAGAAAAACAGTACATGAATTATAAAAAAATGCATGGAAATTATAGAACTAAAAATGCCTTAAAAGTTATATTGATTTGTTTCTCACAAGATAATTTCTAGGAATATTACTTTGAATTTCAAACTGTTTTAGGGTTTAATGATGTTTTATTGATTTAAGTTTAATAATCGTAATAGGAGACAAGGTGAATATAACGAACACTAATAGATCTAATAGAATCTACAAACAACGAAAATTTTTGGAAAGAAAATAATACAAGGAGCCCCGGAAATTTCAGAGGTAGGATTAGATGCCTAGGAGGAGTAAGTATACTCTGTTGACAGGTCATACCCACTGTGATTGATCAGGTAGACGAAACATTCCGTAGTCAAATTTAGTATAAAAACAATTGGTATGAGAGAGGATAGCCAAAATAAATGTACGACCCAATGATAGGTAATATTTACGAACAAGATAACAACAATAGAATTACGAAATGTTGTTGAAATCCTTGTTATTGCAAGTTCACTGGGATTAATTCAGTCGATATATGAATGGAAGTAATTATTGGTAATTGATTAGAAATCGTCGATATATCTGAATGTCGAGTTGAAGGTTACTGCAAGTTTTTTCTTCTTCTCATGTAGAAGTTTTTGAATAAATTCTGCTTCATAGAAATATAAACCAGGTCGGCTAATAAAGTAGTACAATTAGTGCCCATTGAATCCCAACAGTTTGTTAGAAGACCTGATGTCCGAAGACTACATAAAGGTTGTCAATGAGGAACTCCAGCATGCTATTAATTTCAAATTCAGAGTATTTACGTATAGAATCAGGGTATTTTTCCCACAAAGTAATTTTGATGATGACCAATCCTTAGACACGAAAATTTCCGAAATCCATTTTTATTGAAGAATCAGTTGGCTATGATATCAAAAATCCTCTAGAAATTTAATTTATCATGAGAAATGGTTGTATAAAATGTAGAAAAACTGTACGTTTTGATGTTATTAACTTTTGAAAAATTTTTAGACTTTAAAACTTTCTAAAAGTTCTTTGGAGTTTTGGGGAATCAACATCAGATTAACACCACTTCTAGAATATGCTGTAGCACAGTATGTCTGAGGGTTTTCCTTTAAAGCAGTTAATATTTTTATAAGTAAAAAGAGGGGCTTGGTAAAAAAAAAATCAATATTTTTCTTTTTCTTTTTTTGGAAACTCAAAAAATAATTTGAGGATATAGTGAAGTTTATTGTATTTCTAATACTCAACTTTTTAAATTCATTTACCTGATTTGAATGCTAAGTATTGGAAATCTGATGATGCTGACGGTTGAAAAGATGAAGTTGTGTTATCTTTAAAGAGCAAAAATGCAGCTACATGATCCTCTAGATTGTCTCCAACAGGTAAATCAGCAATCAGCGGTATCTGTACATGTTTTTGAGGGCAAATAATTTTAAATCTAAATAATTTTACGAAACGAAGAAAATGTTCAAAAAGATTTTCTATTTTTTTTTTTCAAAAGACTTATTCTACATGCATTTTTTTTTATTTTATGAAAGATCATTCTTCCAAGAAGCTGACGTCTATTAATGCAACTTACTGTTTATTTAAATCAAAAAAAAAAAAAAAAAAAAAAATCCTGAAAAATGTTGGTTGTACTTTTGTACATTAGGATATAACAGTTTTCCTCACCCCCAATGATTGTAGGTGGTCCTTTGGTCCAATACCTGACAACATGAGAATTTGTGGACTATTAAATGCACCAGCAGAAATAATTACTTCTTTCCTTGCCTTTATTATATGTTTTAAGTTGTCTCTCAAAAGTGAAATACCCACTGCTCTCTTGTTTTCTATCAAAATCTGAAATTTGAATCTAAATTACCTGAAATCTATTATATCAGCATAAAAAGTGGTTTTGTAATTATATACAGACAATGATTGATCTCCGAGTCGGCAGTATTTCAGAAATATTTCGGCGAACTTAGAGAATTAAAATATTTTAATCAAATATATTACTTTGGTAACATAGGAGTTCACAGCCACATGAAGATTTGAACGATTCATAGCAGGTCTTAGAAAGGCTTTAGCTGTACTCCATCTCTCTCCGTTTCTGACTGTTTCTTGTGAGTGACAGTAACCTTCATGAAAAAAGAGGATAACTTCTCATGTATGTATTAACAGCTTAGAACGTAACAAAAATAGGTTTTCAGAGTATTTCACAAGCCCAGTGATAGAGGCCTTGGCTAAAGACATTAAATGTTATACAAGAGCTATATAATTGCAAATAAATCTTAGGAAATAATGCAGGTAAAGACACTTTTGCTCAAGTTATATTTTAACCCCTTTCGCCCTCGTATTCAGTGGATAAATTCAGAACGGAGCGAATAACATCTCTTAAAACACAATCGTATGTGGACAAATTTAAAAGAGAAATCAGTTTCAAGCTTAAAAGGTCGAACATAACGCGTATTTAAGATAACACTAAATACAGTAGTTTTCCCAAAGAGAGAAAAGAACTTTATCTGTATAACAAAATTTGAGATTTGCTTCAGATGACCTTATTATTGAAGACAGGTGTACATTTAATATGTGTCGGACCTATTTGTGATTTTCCATTGCAATCCACAACAGAATAACCTAGCTCTTCTATTCCTCGTCTATACACATCGTTCAGAGGAGTGGCTGTTCCGTCACTAACTGCAAGTGGACCTCCTTTTCCATGATAGGCTGCAACAGAAATTAAACTTGATAAATAATACATATAATAAAGCAGGTTTAAATGTAACTTACTTGATTTTTCATTGAATAACTTCCTTGAATGTTTTTTTGGATAGAAACAAATATTAAAATTTTCCAAGTATACATATTTTTAAAATTTCAGAACATCACGAAAATAGATTTGTTTAAATAATAAATGATACAGCAAAAGAGTATTTATACGTGAGTTTTTTAATCTTGATATTTGAACATCTTCTGATTTAATGAAGTATGGGAGAATATTCTTGTAGCTCCATCCTTCGGCGCCCTCTTTTGCCCAACCATCAAAATCATGGCGGCTCCCCCTTACGTACATCATATAGTTTATGGAGCTGCTTCCACCAAGGACACGCCCTCTCGCCTGAGCACTTATCTGTCAAAATTGAAAAGATTTTTTTCTATTTCCACATTATTTTTTTTTTTTTGCTTTTTCGACGGTTTGAATTTTCTATTTCTTTTTCTTCAAGAATTGATTAATTCCATGGTCGTAGTTACATGTAAATATATCATTATTGAGATCGACCAATTCCCATTTTATTTTCGTATGTAGCAAGTAAGTTATAGTCTATGTAATGTACCATGATTTCAATGCACTTAAAAGGATTTTTTAAAAATCAAAATTAAACCTTATTTTTTAAACCGAAACATGCGTTCTTTTGAGGAACTGTTCTATAGGCCCAGTCTTGTTTTGTATTTTGCAAACCTCCGGCCGCAATAGGTATATGCATCAGTTCATTCTCGTTTTCCGATCCTCCAGCTTCTATAATTAGTACTGATGACCTTAAATCTTCAGTCAGTCTGTTAGCAAGAACACATCCGGCGGACCCTGCTCCAACTGCAAAATAATCAAGCAAAGACGACCAATGTTTCTTCTATGAAAAGAACTATTGCAATTGACAATCATTTAAAAATCGAAAATTCTCTACTCAGAAAATAAACTTCATACACGATCACCAAGTGATGGAGTATAATCACACACGTACCTATTATATAGTCGTATGTGCTGTTAAAGACAATGTTTGTTTCTTTACTTGCTTCGTTCTGTGTATTCATGTAGTAGTACACAAAGACAGCAAGTAATACCACAAAGAAGAAAGTCACTGACTGATCCATACCTAAATATAATCAAGAACATATTTGATACCTATGGTATTCAAATTAAGTAATGTAATAGCTATACCTTTAGAGTTGTTACTTTAAATATTCTATTTAAAGTTTGACTTGCCACTAGTGTCCGTTTTACATTTTTGTTAATACTCTTTGATATTTTTGCTAAAAAGAAAACGATTATGCTGCGTCATTATCAAAATCATAGTGGATTTTACTTAAGAATATTTAACTACTACTAATGCCTAACCTGATTATGTGCGTTTTTTTGAGTTTAATAAAAAGAAGAGAGATTCTATAGTATTTTAAGTACAGGTCCACGTAAGAATCAGGCAATCGGTGATAAGTCGAATATTTCATATTCAGCCAATATTTTTTTATATTATTACTTGATACAGTAGTAATTAAAATAAATCATGATTTTTCCAAAAAGGCACATCCAGGCTGTGATATGTTACTATAAATAGATTCGGGCATTTATGGGCCAAAATGTCAACCAAAAAAGAGGAAGTTCAGTACAGAAGTAACAAGTGTTGTTGTTTTTCATAAATTATCTAACCCTATTTTATTTTGAGAGGAGTCTGTATCCTTCTTGTATTAGTTGTCATGGAGTTGATATCTAGGTCGTATCCATAGTAACCATTGTAATTATATGTCAAGACATTTTGGATGTCACAAACATTGTGAATTTAAAACAATATTATTAAAAACAGCAAACACATTATGTAGCTTATTACACATGGAAAAAATAAAACAACTGCTCATTATTAGTTTTCCAGTTTAAAAAGTGTGGAAAAATCAATTAGCAGTTTTTAATGAAAAGGAAAACTATTGAGAAATTTTGATAAATTGCTTGAATTTTGACAAGAATTTTTCCTAAATCTTAGTGCATTGTGTGTAAAACTTAAATTTTATTGAATTGTTTCTTAATTACATTTATCACATTATTATGAATTTTTCTATTCAATGTACCAAGTTTAATCTGGAATTAATTTTATTTCTCTAAAACAGTTTTGGAGAGAATTATGATCGGGATCGAAATTCTGTATATTAAGTACCCAACTTTGATGATTCCAGATTTTTTTCTGTTTTTATTTTAAACAGCTGTAAGCAGGTGCATCCAGTTTTCTTGTATTACTTTTTTCATATAGTAAACATGATGACCAATCACTATCTATTTGGGTGATTCTTCTTATATAAGCATTTACTTTTTTTTCATTTAGTTTTTCAGCTTTTACTGTTTTTCAAATACTACTTAACTTATATATAACAACAAAGAATACATTATGCCACATGAAGACATAATTATTATGTATAAACAAGTCAGAGTATGTTGGTCTCTGCTAGCAATGTCCTAAAACTCTCAACTTTTACAGATAAAATTATAAATTCATTAAGTTCTTTGACTCCTTCTAAATCAAATCACATGTATATGAAAGGAATGTTAAGGATTTTGCTCAACTGCAGAAAATGATGCAGCTGCAACATTTGATTTACTGTACCATTATATGAGCAGTAATATGATATTTTTAAATTGCATATTTAACAAATATGTCATGTTGTTCAACATACTAAACTAAATGTTTTAATATGAAAATTTCCAAGTTTATTCTTGAGAAATCAACAATGACCAATTTGCAAAAAGGTTTAACATGTTTATTAAATGTTTAACTTAACAATTTATAAATTACATTGTACATTATACAAAGATGAAATTTGTAGAAGAAAAGTTTTTACAATATCAGTTCTTTATAATCATCATTCCATCCCATGATATAAAAAAAAATGCTTTTTAAACTACAGCACTTTTCAAGCAGACATGCACATTCAAAATTCTGAACTTGATCAATTTAATGTATGGACTTGTGGTGCATATACTTTTGGATAGTTTCCGTTGTTTTCTCATATAGTACTTGCCACGCTAAATCTCAACTGGTATGCTATTCCCTTTGTTTACATAAGTTAATGAGCAATGTAGGACTAAAGTTCTACCTACACTACTGTCACTAGCTTTTATGATGGTTAAACACAACAAAAGGCACCAGATTCACTGCTCAATGTGATTTTAGAAAATTCTTTCATTCATAAAGTTTGTTTCCTCATTTTTCACTAAATTTTGAAGTTTGGACAGGAGAAGAAAACCTCGACTGTTTGAGAAGACCAAAGAACTCTTCTGCAACTTGAACTTGTCTGAAAAATTAAATGCAGTGGCATATTACCCAGTATTTTAAACTCTGAATAAGCATAAAATTTAATATTATGAAACAATTTAATAACTTATCTCTAAAAAACATTTTTAAAGTCTTCAGCAAGATATTTTTTTTCAATTGGTAGTTTAAAATAAAATAAATATCTATACCCACTTTATAAAATGGAGTTCTCCTAATTCATAGGAAGGATTTCCAAGAAGAAAAAAATTACACCCAACTTTGAAATAATTTTGAAAAAGACCAAAAATTTAGGCACTTAAAGCTTACTGGAAAAAGGCTTGCTTATTATTTTTGGTTGACATCAAAAGGGTTTTCCTCACTGTTAGCTTAAAAAACTACTTACTTGCACATATTGCATCACATGAACTCCTTTTTTTGTGAGAAGATAATTTCCATATTTCAGCAGGATTTCAGGAAATAAATCCATAAATGTTAGATATATAATTGTGTCTTGAAAATAACCACAATCAAGTGTTACATAGGCTATGTTGTTGTCCTCAAATCGAGTGTCGCATGACTCGACTAGGTCCGCATTTCCTCGCCAACATGACTTTATGATTGAGAGTTTCAATAAAACTGCTGTTTGGCAACGATTATTATGTTCCCCAAACGAAGTTTGGGAACATATTGTTTTTACTCTGTTTCTTATTATTATTATTAAGGTCTTCTGTCTCCACGGAAGACCTTATAGTGATTCTATTGTTAGGGTCTTCCGAGCTTCCTTCGGAAGACCCTACTGTTATTCTACTGTTTCTTATTATTATTTTATTTTTTTTTTCCCGCCGATTTTCAGCAGGCGATTTCTCGGAGACCTTTTGTCCGATTGCTATGAAACTTTCAGGGTAGATACAATGTATTATTGCCTAAAAACGGTTTTTTCAAATTTTTGATATATACCCCCGTTCATGAGTTATTGCCCTTTAATCGATATTTGGAGGGTCTCTTGTCCAGTAGAATTCTCAATAACGACACATGATATTTGCATGAAAACTGGAGAACTTGTAACTAATACATTGCAGATGCGCAGAACATTAAAATTGTAGGCTAATTTTTTTAAGTTCGGAAGCTATGTGACGGCAAGTTTTAAGAATTATTTTTCCATGAAATTTTGCTGCTTTTTGTTTAGTAACTTTTAAACTGATAAAAATTTGGTAAGACATATAGAATAAAAGTTGTGTGTAATTACGAGAACTTTCAGATAACATCAAGAAAAAGGGGCTGGCCCCTATATTCAGGGGACAGCAGGTCATAAAAGTATTTTTTGGATAGCTAAAAATATTAAAATATTATGAAAAAGTTTGAATGACATAATTTCTAACATATTAAATCTTGTCATGTGGTATAAAGAGAAACAAGCTCCGTGCTATATTTTATTCTATTTTATATAATAATTATTCGAGAATCGTACAGGAACAAGTTGTCTACAAACCAGCCACGCCTTTTAGGGCATCGTAACACATGCTTGTACGGTTTTAGATAGTTGTTGTGTTTTAAGTAAATTGTTTAGATTCGATTTCTCTGTTTTCTGTTATTTAAATCGTTTATAAATGCAAGTTATTTACACAAGTAAAGGTAAATTAACATTTACAAATGCATCCGTATAGAAAGAGTCTTAATCGGGGCCTCTTGTTTGTAACCTGGATGTAAACAATCACGAGCGGCATTGTGGGAAGAAGACACTAAAGACCCGATATACGAAAAACGTGATTTGATCTGATGCTTTGTTGGCAAATATTTAAAAAAAAAGTGTAGTTTAGTATAGCATAATGCTTCATAATCAATAATTTTTAAAAATAAATCATGTTTAACACTCAGTCTGATTATTTTATTTTTTGAAAAATCATCAGGTCGAATATCAGGTCTTTAGTATATCAAGTCTTTAGTACGTCCCCGGAAGTAGCCATGCAAGTCGGAATTACAGACAGAAAATGAGAAGAAAATATGTGAAGTTGACAGTTGTACATTTTCTTAACGTACGAGCCGTATGTAGACATGCAGGTTTAATCCACATCTTCGAAGCACATAAAATCCTTGGTTGCGTACAGGGAGCATTAGTTTTAAAGGGATATATATATTCTTGCGCAAATTGTTTACGAGGAAATTCTGACGATCACATTAACAGCGATGAACAGTCTTGTGTCGGAGTTTTCTGTGATAAATGTAGCGAGTGATGAAAGAGTTCACGGTGACATTTTAATATATGATTGGCGTACACCTTGAAGGTTAGAATTTTTCTTATCTAAATTTTAAAAGCTGCTTACAGCACTGATGTTTACATGTATATGCCAGCAAATGTATAAATGTACGCACAAACACTGATGTATGTTATCTATTTTATGGTTCAGTCTCTGTCTGTTAGCCCTGACATGACATTGTCAAATCCCCATTGCTTTACCTTATATTTAAATGCACGAGAGCATGTAATTTCACCAAGACTTATTTTTTTTATTGAAACAAAAAAATGTAAAAATTCAACAATACACTATCTAACATGCTACATGTATAAACATGATAATTATTGTTATATATTCTTCAACAAGTATGAATAGCTGTTATAACTAGGGCCTTAATTAATATTATAATTTGTTATACCTTTAAAAATTTGTTCTTATATAAATCTATACCAGTGTACACTCAAAATGTCTAACATTTCCAAGGTTTTATGAGCAATCATAAAAAAATCTATGTTGAACCGCAAAGTGAGATATTGAACCTGTCGATGAGATCATTGGACTGCTTACATATTACAGTATGCACGGGATTAGTTATATCTCATTTGCA